TTAAAAAATATATTAGAAAGGTAAGATATAATTTGGAACAATTTTAAATAAACAAGACATACAATTCGAGACAAAAAAGTAGGCAAAATTTGGCTATATTATATTTTGGTAAGTGGGCTCACGGGTAAAATGACAGTGGAGTTTTACTACTCATCAAAATTTTGCTTATTGAAGGAAAGGGAAAATGATTCAGCTTTCTGTGACACTGCCAATAAATGTTATATAGGGTGTCCCAATTTATGGTTCATTTCAGGTTCCCATTTTCTTCATTTACAATATATTTTTTTACTAAAAATTCCAATATTCTTCCAGCTAATTGATGCTTTATTCTTTGAATATATTTTGATGTCATAACTAACAAATAGGTATCAGAATTAGTATTCAAAAAGGGCAAGTAGATGACATGATGAATAACGTAGTTCAACAGCAACTGTTTTTTGCACTGATTGAGAGGCAACCACTTTTAATTGAGTAGTAAGCACTTTGCTTCGACCACTAAAAGAGAGCCACTTTCTCATACTCTCGAAAAAGTTAGGTACCAATAATTTGTCTTTGCGTTTCACTAAAGGTGGCATTTCAATTGGTTGACTGCTAGTTGTTTAAGGCTGTTATTCTAGTGAACAAAGTTTGAATTTTTTGCTCTTGCTTGGATAAATTTTGCTTCTTTTAAAACCAAAGTTACTTGACCAATCTAATGATCGACACCATCAAAAATGTTAAAAAGTCTTTCTTTTTCTTGTATTACTTGTATCAAGGACTACATGATTCAAATGTATTGTTATCTTGTACAATCCAACTTGGAGAAAACCTCGCTCAAGAGATCTCATTCAGCAAAGAAATGGAAAATCTAACTAACATATGAGCTATTTTGTTGAAATATAAAATCGATAACATCATATACAAGCTCAAGAGCATCCAAGATATCTTCATACATCTCCCGTGATGCTGCCACTCGTTTCTGTATCATATCGATAACATTCTTAACATTAGAGAAAATGTTGTGGCAAATAAAATCTTTACATTCTACCCTCCATTACTATTAGCATATTCAAGAAACATCCTAACAACAATGTTAAAAGTATAATCTATAATGTGTCCAAAGGTGGTTAGAGAGGTAGAATAGTGACCCGTGGTTTAACCTACTTGCAGCCAGCTTATTTTGTCCAAATACACTAATTTTCCCTAGAGTTTGACCTAACGCCTCAATTTCTTAAATAAACAATTTTTAAGAACAAAAAGAAGTGCCGAAGGTTTTTTATGGGTGGCCCACACACCTTGGCTATGTTTAATCTTTGACTGAAACAACTTTTAAGTGGTAGGCTGAGTTTTGACTTAAATTACTGTAAACCGTATTCATTTCGCCCAAAACAGTCATTTTGATACCGCTGGTACTTCTAAATATACCACATTATACATTCAAATTGTTAAACTCATAAAAAAACTTATAATTAGCACCAATGTTCTTTGAACACTTCTCTGTATTGTCTTTAAGAATATATCAAGGATCACTAACAACGGGAAAATGTGTCACGAATATTTGGTTGGTTGCTATGGGAGAATATCGACGTGCTGTTCAAAAATTCTTACCCATCCCCTATAAGCGCCATTGGTCTGACATGTCATCTTAGGGTGATCGATAGGGTCCGAACATCTTAACAGCTTATTTGGAAGGCTGTTATCCCTTGTTAAACTTAAATACCATGTTTGTTTTAATTGTTATTTTAATTTTTGTATTATTAGGTAATAACAAAAGTTAAGTATCATTTGTTAGAGTCTGAACATCTTAAAGCTTATTTGGAAGGCTGTTATCCCTTATTGAACTTAAATACCATGTTTGTTTTGATTGTTATTTTAATTTTTGTATTATTAGGTAATAACAAAAGTTAAGTATCATTTAGTGTAACTACTAATTTAGTATACTCGTGTTGTTGCCTTACTTAATTTTTCTCATTTTATTTTTAAATAATGTTATTTTATCCTTTACTATTTTTTTTAATAGAAGATCTACTCGTACCTAATTTTCTTATAGGTTTATCATTCAAATTATTGATTATTACATTATGTAACCATGAAAAATCATACAATCTTGCCAACGTCATATTCATTAAAATAATACCGTACAACACAACTCAACAAAATACAATATGATACATTATGTATTATGTAGTATGTAACAACCATTCAAACAGAGTGTAAGTGCATTATTAAAGATCCCATCATAAAGAAGTGAAACAATAAAATAAGGTTACTCCCTACCAAATCACACAGAGAGACGTTAGGGTCCCAAACCAGCTGAATGCATTGTGTTTTTTATTTCGTATATAAAAAAAAAAAGTGGGAACAATAGAATAAAAAGGCTGCCCTCTACCTAATCGCAGTCGCTAGCTTATTTCTCAACCTAATCGGAGAAAGATGCTTCACTATTCGCTATTGTATCGCATTGCCAAATTTCAAGGAGTTCTTTTGTTTAATACAAGGTTGTCCCATCTGACCTTAACAAGATAGTAAAGAAGAAAGGCGTGCAATGTTCCAGTAGCACTCGTGGAAATTGTATAAAAAGAAAAACAAGAAAGGTTTGTAGGACTGGGAACAATTTTATAGATATGGCGAATAATCTCTAATTCGTTACGTATTTATTTAGGATGCATCCACCTTCCAATTTCTATAGAATGAGGAGTAGATTCCTAACTCGCTTAGTCAAAAAAAGCAAAAGGGAATAACATAACGAAAATCTGAACTTCTAAAACAATCGAAAGAAGCCTGGCAGATTACACTTCAAATGATAGACACAATTAGCAGGCCTCCAGGAATAGGTTTGTTATGATGAAGAATCAACGACAAGATCGAGACGGCCCATCAGAAAGTCAGAGCTCAAAAGCATAACGGTGATTGATAAGATATTTACTGGTAGTGGTTAGTGAAAGGGAATGTAAAAACTGTACAGATATATATAGATAAGTTATTTTTGATAGCTGGGTACAGGCACCATGCACCTCAACTAATACATGGGATATTTGCTATCTTTCTTCCCATTTGTCCAAGTTTGGCAATGCAATTATTATATTTATGCTGTTGAAGGTTAGCAAAATCCTACCGTAATATGTCAAGGTGATAATTGACCCGAGACTTCATGACTCTTAACCCACTTCACTTAATATGAACAAGTAGTCTATTTCACCATTTAATTCCAAGAAGAAAACAAAATCCAGAGACTTCCTACGGACTTGAAGAAGGATGAGGCAAATAATTAGAGTTGATTAAAATAAATAATAACTCATCAATTTGCAATCATCCTTCTCCTTTCAGAAAATAAAAAGAAAAGGAGGCAAAATCATATATAATTAAACCTCTGAAATTCGAGAGAAAGACTTGAGATGTTATAAAAAAAATTTATCCAACTCTAGTCTCAGCATTTACATTTGAGTAGTTTAATCTGGAAGAAAATATGTGTAAATGAAATGGGCATCATTAGACAGCTATATATCAAATTCTTCTGTAAAACTTTGACTATTCCATTTGGACATTTAATTTTTCTTTAGGCATCTATGTGATCATAATTCCTCTCCTCCTTTCTCCTAAATTAATTACATAAGAGAATAACTGAAAGTCCCAGTGAAACTACACGCATAGAGATGAAGAAAAGAAACAAGGTAGCAAGGGGATCTGGGCAGGTTAGATTACCTTTTCACAGGAACATAAAGAGATATTTACAACCTACACATCCATTAATGAACAGAGGAAACTGATCCTCAACAAAAGATATTGATTCAACATAAGGTTAATTTACAGAACAGAACAAGACAAACAAAGATACCTTGAAGGTGTACATCATGGTTTCCTTTCAGGTGACCGTTCAAATTTGCTAACTGTTCCTTTATTCTGGGTAATGCTTTCTATGTACTGCTTGACATACTTGGGGTTCATCTCAAACAAAAAACTCATTTCCCTTATCTGTAAAAAAGTTCAGTATGTTTCATAAGTTAATAAAACTGTAAGACCACTCCTGCCAATAAAAATGCCACAATATAAAATAGTTGAAGATGTGAGAGGCCATCTTAGAAATTAGCTTAAGATGGAATTTCATTTTCATTTCATTGTTGTGACTAAACAATGCACTCACCAATTATACTATTGACTCCCCATAGGGGGGGGGGGGGGTATTCCACGAAGCAATCAGGGGATGAGAAAAGAGTCATAGCAATTGAAACAAAAGGAAAAATCGTGGAATGACAGGAAATCTACAAAAACACATTTTTGTTTATTGCTTGGAGAACATTTGCAACCAGATACAGTAACCTTTTTAGCAGACTCCAATTGGTTAATGATCGAGGTGGTGGTGGTGTTATTTTGTTGTTAGATGGCCTTTCTTGGTCACATGCACAGATAAAGGAAGAGCAAATTATCTACCAGGATAAAAGGTCTATCTAGATAAGCTTCAAATAGACATGTTTGCTCCTAGTAAATCCAAAACGACTTCACATCCATTCTCTAAGTTTTCTTCATCAATCCTCATTTCTCTATAGCTCTCATTCTACCCCACTAGTGACACGTTCAATGCCCTAAACCATCAACATCCCTGGGTCATATCTTTCCTGCTTCCTAGAATCCACAAACCCAGATCCAGTCTTCCTGTATTTGTTGTTTCACTTCCACTCCCTCCCTAATTCATTGTGCACTCTCTCTCATATCTCCTTCCCTAATCTATCCTTGTGTTTTAAGCTAAGTTGCTCAAACTCTTCACTTTTGGTGTTGCACCCGTGTCGAAACGACATGTGTGTGGATATGGGATCCATACCTTGTTTGGTCAACTAATTTTGGGTACTTAACATGAGAATGTAGCAAAGAGTTATTATTCATGTGAGATTAGTATACTTATAAAACATCAAAAGCTTGTTGGCATGTGCATTCTCATTGAACAACAAAGGGTATTGAATTTAAAGTGATATGTCATTCACCTTTTCTATCTCACAATAGATAAAACAGAATCTAATTATCTACTCACTATTTAGGAGTTTGAAATCAATTTAAAATTTTCTTATTATCTTCCATTGTCTTAATAGGTAAGAAGTACTCATATTTAAGACTTCAAATTGATTTACATTTTACCTTATATAAATCGTTTCCTTAACTTAAAACCGTGCAACATTACTGTAATATTTTTCATATAAATTTTTTTAAATAC